TTCCTGCCCCCCAGCAGACCCACATCCCACCCACCCTGGTGTCATCCACGACCTGACTGAGGTGCCCTCGACCCCCTTGTCTGGACTTGGATGAGAACCTTAACCAGGGCTGGTCCCAGCTCTGACCCCTGTGTGACCCCACTGGAGCCCATTCCCAGCTGGATGGGACTCCATTCCCCCATTCCCTAGCCCGGGTTTGTCCCAGCAGGAGTGCCCCTGGCCATCCAGTTCTTTCCCACAGCAGTAACTGGAGGCCCTGAGGGGTGGCAGGGGCTGTGTCCTGCAGGAACAAACCTCACAGTTCCCACAGGAATGGCAAAGCATGGACAAGGGACAGCTTTATTTTTTAGTACTAATTTTTTTTTTCCTGAACTACCCGATTGCCTGTTCATGTTTAGTGAAGTTTGCTGTGTTATACGGGCAGGTTTTTGCAGAGTTTTCCAGACCAGCTTTGGATCCACTGCATTTCTGGGGGTAAAAAAAGGAGCCTTTGGCTTGTATAGAATTTCACTGCAGAGTTATAATCACTGAGGAGTTACAATCCACTCCCTGGCTCGTGGCCCACTGGGTTTTTCACTCACACTCTTCCAGGCTGAAGTGAGTTTTGGTCTGTAAAGGTCTCACAGCAGCATTTGAGTCCAGAACCTGTAAAAACACCCGTGAGACATCTGGGCCTTCAGGATTTGGGGCACCTGCTGCTGGAAGGTGCACGTTGGTTCCCAGAGGTGCTCCTGTACTGGCTGGACACGCAAAAATAACATTTTAAAGTATTTTTTCTTACTTTTGTGCACAGTCGGTTCTACTTCAGTTACTTATCCCTGCAGTGGCGGGACCAGAGCTTGAAATTTTAAGTTAAATTGGAAGAATTATCAGAAATGGTTAAAATAGCCTTTAAAAGAAGATGTTGCCAGACCACTCGAATGTATAGAAAGGTTTATCTTTTCTCCTCCCAGGGTTAGATGTGTCCCTCTGGAATCACTTCTAGATCAGTTTGTCCCCCTAGGAAGAGGCTTAGGGGAAAAACAGGAATATTTTTGATCAGTTACCTTTATTAACGTGTGACTGCTGAGAAGAGGGAGGGTGGAATATGAACCATGAGCTTGAAGGGCAAAGAAATGAGTAAGAGCATCCACAGAGGGAGATGAGGGGATGAAAGCAGTCATTGTGGGGGTCTTTGTTCAAATTAGGAAAGAAGAGTAAAAATACTTCATATTTTTACTGAAATCTAAGATGAGTCAATGTGAACACCCTTATATAATTAATAAATTTAATTTTATACTTCCACAAAGTATTTATTACGGTTCAGAAATTATTTTAAACTGTTTAAGTGAAGTGTGAGTTGAAGCCCAAACCAGTAACTTCTTCTGCCAGTGCAGGTATGCCCTGAGTTTTTATTCAAGATCTTCATCCCAATTATATTTTTAAGAGTGAGTGAGCTGAGGGGGGATGAAAGCTTTTCCTCGAACCACCAGGAATATTTGTTCCTCCAGATCAGAAAGTCACTCAGCTTCCTTCTGTGTGTGTCAAGCACAGCTCGGATCAGCCTGTGCCCCAAGGAGGGATTCTGATTTATTTTAATTACAACTTGTTTCTGAGCACAAATAGGTCTGAGCACAGTTTTGTCCTCGTGCAGCAGCTGCAGTTAAATATTATTTCTGCTAGTAAAATGCAACACCAGGAATCTGAACAGACTCAGATTTAACAATTTGCAAATTAACTTTTTTTTTTCCTTTTTCTGTTCTCTTCGGCCGGTGAGGCTGAGTTTCAGTGCAAACCACTGTCTGGAGATGGTTATCAGATCCTAAAGGTCAGAGTCTCCTTTGGAGTAAAGGTGGAAATAAAACAAAATAAAACAAAATTGACTGTCAGAAGAAAAAAAAAAAAATCTTTGGCCGATTCAGTGAGTTGATGACTAAACTGGAGTCATCCAGCAGCAGTGAGGAAGCCCCTGGAACTGCAGGTATGACAGCCAAGGGCCAGGGTTTCCTGAGGAGCAGGAGGGCAGAGGAGGAGCAGTGGGGCAGGAGGGGAAGGCTGAGCTGGGGCAGGAGGAGCTGCCTCTCCCTGGGCCGTTACCTACAGCTGATGAGCTCCAAGAAGAGCGAAACCTCGTAACAAAGGTCCTGTAGTATTGGCCTAAAACCTGGGAGCACCTGGGAACACCTGGGAGCACCTGGGAACACCTGGGAGCACCTGGGAACACCTGGGAACACCTGGGAACACCCGGGCTGGGGAACCACAGGAACGTGGGGCAGAGTCAGCACCGGCTGGACCTGCTGGAGCAGGGCAAGAACAGCCAGCAGGGCTTTCTCTGCATTTGTGCCCGTTTTCCTGCAGCCAGGTTTTCCTTGTGTCCATACCATGGATGTGTGAGACCTGCCTGTGCTCTGGGGGTGGGAGGGAGCCTTTAAAGGTGAGGAGGAGGGAGAACCCTGGAACAGAAGGGTGGATGTAAACCTAAAAAAAGGAAATTAAAACAAATTCAAACAGGAGAAATCAGAGGAGTGTTTAAGTTCATGGTGCAGTTCTGTTTCAGGTGGTGGCTGAGTGTAGGGTTCTCCACGTTTGTCATTGTAAATCTAATTTATAAATTAGGTTTTCTGTTAGCTGTGCCAGGGTTGCTCGTGTTGCTCCCGAGGCAATAAAGGTGTTTACCTGTTGCAAAGGGGGCCAAGGTGAATGGAAAAAGGGAAATGGCAGAATTTGGGAGGTTTACACCAAACACACCTGCAGTTTTCCAGGGTGTGACATCTTTGTGCTCCCTAAGCTGAACACTGAACTGCCCCTGGATCCCTGGGAGTGTCCCAGGCCAGGTTGGACAGGGCTTGGAGCACCCTGGGCTGGTGGGAGGTGTCCCTGCCCATGGCAGGGGTGGGACAGGCTGAACTTCAGGGGGCCTTTGCACTCCAACCATTCTGGGATCCAGTGATTCCCTGACTCTGTGTTGGAGCAGGTTTTCCCCCCCTGTGCCCGTGGACTGTGAGCAGCCATCCCCAGGGTTCTGGGCTGCCACGTCATCCCAGCCCCTGTGTGTGTTTCTTGGCACTTTTCTCACCCGCTGTGCCACGAATGTTTAAAAAACAAGGCACAACCAGCCAAACAAACAAACAGAAACCACCCAAAAAATCCCCACCAAAACCCCAAACCCCTTCCCCCCCTCCTAACATCCAACCCAACCAGTGCAGGACAAGCTGCTGCTTCCCCTCCCTGTGCTGGGAGCCCAGCTCTGTAATTTGCATCCTAAACATAGTTGCAGTTACTGTGGGTTTGGTTCATTCCTGTTTTGAACTTGAGAAAGGCTTCCCATCTTTGCTCTCCCCAGCCTCGTCCCCAAGGGATCCTTCTGTGTCTCCTTGTTCAGGAATTAAAGCAGGTTTGTCAGTTATCCTGATGGATTCCATAGGACATTCCCAAATACCTGCCAGTGACGTGGGAGTTGGGCTCTTCTCCTGGGGAACAAGGGACAGGATGAGGGGAAACAGCCTAGGGCTGCCCAAAAGGAGGTTCAGGTTGGATGTTGGGAACAATTCCTTCCTGGAAAGGGTGGTCAGGCACTGGCAGGGGCTGCCCAGGGAGGTTTGGAGTGCCCAGCCCTGGAGGTGTCCCAGGAAGGCCTGGCTGTGGCACTCAGTGCTCTGGGCTGGGGACAGGGTGGGGATGGGGCACAGGGGGGATCCATGGGCTGGGAGGGCTTTTCCCAGCTGGATGATTCTGGGACCATGGATAAAGCAGGTCCCTCAGTCAGGTTTCATTTCAAGGGCAACGAGAAGAGATCACTGACCCATTTTCCTTGTGGAGAACACTGGCTCCTCTGGGATTCTGGAAGTGTGTGTCCTGGTCACTCTGACCTGCTGATCCCTGTGTGGCAGTGCTCTGTGAGGTGCCTGTGCCCCCTGAATGACCCCTGGAGCTCCCATCCCATCCCCTCCGTGCCAGGGAACCCCGGGAAGCTGTGGCTGCCCCACCCCTGGAGTGTCCAAGGCCAGGTTGGACGGGGCTTGGAGCAAGTGGGATGGTGGGAGGTGTCCCTGCCCATGGCAGGGGGTGGAACAAGGTGGGATTTAAGGTCTCTTCCCAGCCAAACCAACCTGGGATTTGATGACTGTGTGACTGAGGTGTCTGTAGGGGAAGGGAGGGATGAGGGACATGCACCCAAAGCCCAGGCAGAGGGAGATCTCGTGGTATCTTTATTTTTCTGGGTGTTGAAGGAGATTCAAGTGTTATTGTCCCTCATGTGTTGGTAAAATAACCTCTCCTAAAGCCAGTTTAAAACATGAAGTCACTATTTCATGTGATTTCATCCAGTCCTCCAAGGGGATTTCTGCCCCTTGGAGTCCCTTGCTGTGGAATTTAAAGGGGTGCAGGGGGAATAAAGGTGATTTCAGGGACAGCACCTGGTGGGCTTCAAGCTGACCTGCATATTTTATGTGATGGGGAAACAGAGAGAAATATTCCAAAAAATCCTGAAGCTTGGGGCAGTGCATGAGGGTACCTGGAGCTTGAACAAGATGAATCTCAGGGACAGAGTCCCAGTGTCCAGGACACTGAACTCCTGCTCTTGCCTGCAGTGAGGGACAGGTGAGTTCCTTGGGAGAAACCTTGGCTGAGATACTCTGTTTGGATACGTTCATTGAACTTAGTAAAATGGATTTATTTTAGGAACCTGAAAAGAAAAAAAAACACCAAACCCTTTCCACCTCTCCAACAAGTGCCACTGAGGTGCTTTCCTTTAGAAAAACAAAACCACAGCAGTGTGTCAGTTCTGAGCCTGTGCTTTTCTACAGGAGGGAGAAATCAGGCAGTAAAATACATCTGCCTGTCACAACCCCATGGGTTTGTTTCCCTCTGTGGAAGGGAAAAAGGAGGAAGGCTGTGGTGGGTTTGAAGCTGGATGTGCTGTGAGGCTGTTCCTGGGCAGTGCCAAGGCACAGCTCTGTTCCCTGCTGACATTCCAGGCTGATGCAGTCGGGGCTGCAGGAGGCTGAGCCCACTGACTCCCATGGAGCTTGCTGGGACTGTAGGAGAATTCTTAGGGGGGTTTGCCTTTTTTTTAGGTTTCAGACACTTGAAAACCGTATTTATTGGTTTTTAAACCACCTGGTTTAAACTCAGGTTTTGAACCGTAAGTTGGTGAAACTGGTAACAAAAGAGTGATTTAGTAACTAAGTAAATTATAAATTAGATTTCACACTGATAACTGAATTATCTTGCGTTTTTTTCACTGGAGTTGGCTGAAATTCTGCATCTTTCAGGACTGTGTGGTGCTGAGAGAGGGGCTGAATTGTCCCTGTGCCCTCTTACCTGGGGGTACAAGTTCCTCTCTGTCGCTGTCACTTCTTTAATGTTTCCCTGAGAAAGGGAGGCCTGTGCCACCAACACACATGGTTTTATTTCCAGCTTAATTGCACTGAAGTTCTTTACTTCCCTGACAGGTATGGTTTGACCTCAGGCACTGGGTTTCGAAGTGAAATGAATTTTTACAAGTTTTCTTGAAAAGACAAGGGCCCCTCAAACCCCCCCCAACCCCAACATCCCCCCAAATCCTGGGAGGCCTTTTCCAGCCTCAGTGATCCTGCAGGGAAGAGGATTGTCACTGACCTCTGGCAGCCAGGGGAAGGACTGGGATGTGCTTTCTCCTCCTGAACCCCAGAGGCCCCAAAATCACCTTTTTGGCTCAGCTTGCTCTGTGCTTTGCAAACAAACCCCCTTTGAACACAAAGGAATTCCTTCTGTGGTATTTCTGTTTGCATTTATGCTGCTCTGAGCTTTTCAGACTTAGAAGGAGCAATTAAAACGTTCAGAATTGATGTTTCCTGTGCCCCCCCTCCCTCAGAAGGTGTTCAGGAGCCCAAACTGTGTGTGTGTCGTGGAACAGGGTAATTATGGAGGGAGGTCTGTCTGTCTGTCTGTCTGCTGGTCTGCTCACTCACCAGACAGGATCAGACTGTTTCTGCTGAGGGATAAACCCACGTTGTTCGCAGCAGGTTGCTCTTGTAACAGCAATTCTGACACAAACAGTGTTTGCCATTTTTGTCCCCAGGATGATTGAGGAGAGTGGGAAGAGGAGGAGGACCATGGCAGAGAAGAGGCAGCTGTTCATGGAAATGAGTAAGTGGGAAATCTGAAGGCACAATGTCATTTATGCTTTACCAAGAGCTCCCCTGTGGCAGTTTTGCCAGATCATTCCCATCTCCTTCCACGAGACATTGCCCCACCCAGGGAAAAACATCCAGAGTGCCCCTGGGAGCTGCTCAGGAGGACCAGCAAAAGGTGGGTCACACCTGCCAGGAAGGTCATTCATTCCAAGGCTTTGGGAAGCTCCTTTTTTAAAGAACGTTCACATTTCTCATCTCTGGCAATATCTGAGGTTTGTGGGCAGCTGTTGAAATAAATAGTGACAACAGAGCACCTTTTGCCTTAAAAAAATAAAAAATGACCCTACAATGCTGGTGTGACTCAGGAGGGGAACAGTTTGTGGGTTGGTTTGTGCAGGATCACTCGTGGCAGAGAGGTTGGGATTGTTAAAACCCTGCATGCTTGCATGCCATCCCCTTATTCTGCTGTCCTGTGGGAGCACAGGGCTGAAGGAAACTCCTACATTAGGCTGGCATGTCCTTAATTCCAGTTACAAACCGAGATAGGTCTTCCTTAAAACTGGATATTGATACTGTTTTGTTGAAGGAGTTCCAGAGCAGCATTTTTATCATAGAATTGTGGGGTGGTTTGGGAGGGAAAGGACCTTAAAGGCCAACCCTTTCCATGAAGAAATTCCTCCTGTTGTCCAGGCTGGCACGCTGGAGGGAATCTCCTCAGAACCTTTTCCAATCCAGTGGCACATCCCCACTGGAATGGCTTTGGCTGGTGCCTCAGGGCATCACTTCTATCTCATCACTTCCAGGGGTTGTTATCTTGTGATCATTTGGTACAGGAGGGCCACCTGCAGGGTTTTACCTTTGGCTAAATTGTTAGAAGTGTTCAGAATTCTGGTTACCTCCATCCAAGGTGTGTCTGTGCAGCTCAGGCTGTGGCTGTTCAGTACCAGTGGAGTGCTGGGCTGTGGATGTTCTCAGGCTGTGGCTGTTCAGTACCACTGAAGTGCTGGGCTGTGGATGTTCTCAGGCTGTGGCTGTTCAGTACCACTGAAGTGCTGGGCTGTGGATGTTCTGTGGATGTTCTCAGGCTGTGGATGTTCAGTACCACTGGAGTGCTGGGCTGTGGATGTTCCCAAGGGCCTTTCTGAGTGAGGCTCCTCAGCACATCACTGGGAAGAGCCCGAGGTCACAGAATCAGGGAATATCCTGGTTTGGGAGGGACCCCCGAGGATCATCCATCCAACCCCTGGCCCTGCACAGACACCCCAACAATCCCCCCTGTCCCTCAGAGCATTGTCCAAACCCTCCCTGAGCTCTGGCAGCCTTGGGGCCGTGCCCATTCCCTGGGGAGCCTGGGCAGTGCCAACCACCCTCTGGGGAGGAACCTTGACCTGAGATCCCACCTGACCCTGCCCTGGCACAGCTCAGAGGTGTCCCAACTCCACCTGTCCTTTGGTGGAATATTTCCCTTTGAAGTCACACATCAGTGCTTTTCCTTTCCAGGTGAGCTTCATACCCAGAGAAGGTCCAGATGTGTAAAACTGGTGCTTTCAGGGACCTTTTGTTGTTTTAGCCAACATACAAATTGTGCTCATGTGAGCCAAGAGCAGACCTTGGTGTCCAGCCTGGCCTTGGACACTTCCAGGGATCCAGAGGCAGCCACAGAACAGCTCCTCTGAACAACCTGTGCCAGGGCTTCCCCACCCTCACAGGGAAGAATTCCTTCCCAATCTCCCATCTCTCCCTGCCCTCTGGCAGTGGGAAGCCATTCCCTGTGTCCTGTCCCTCCAGGCCTTGTCCCCAGTCCCTCTCCAGCTCTCCTGGAGCCCCTTTAGGCTCTGCAAGGGGCTCCAAGCTCTCCCTGGATCCTTCCCTTCCCCAGCTGAGCACCCCCAGCTCTCCCAGCCTGGCTCCAGAGCAGAGGGGCTCCAGCCCTGGCAGCATCTCCGCGGCCTCCTCTGGACTCTCTGCAGCAGCTCCACGTCCTTGTGCTGCTGTTGCCCAGGACTGGAGGCAGCTCTGCAGGGGGGTCTCAGCTGAGGGGGCAGAGGGGCAGATCCCCTCCCTCGTGTGCTCCATGGGACGCTGTCACAGAGGACGTTGTGTGTGTTGCAGGGGCTCAGAACTTCGATGTCATCCGGCTCTCCACGTACCGAACCGCCTGCAAGCTGCGCTTCGTGCAGAAACGCTGCAACCGTGAGTCCTGCTCACCCCTGAGTCCTGCTCACCCCTGGGCTGCAGGCAGGGCTCGTGCATGTCCCACACCCTCACCCTGCCAGTTCTGGGCGGGCTGGCAGCAAGCACTTTGTCAGGCAGTGGCAGTTGTTACTTTAATGAAACAGAGATCAAGTGTGCAGTTATACTGTGTACGTGTACAGTGATACTGTCTAATCTCTTGGGGTTTGTTCCTTACTGTTCAGAATATTTAAAATACAAGGGCCAGCATGAGGTGTTTCCTTGCCCTCAGTGCTGGGTGCAGGCAGCTGGAGCTGTTTGAGGTGCTGTTCCACCCTGGGGTACCCCCGAGCAGCTGCCAGCAGGGCACAGGGACAGCCCCTGTGGGGAGGAGTCCGGCTCTGTCCCGGTGGCACTCGTGACATGGAGCGACCATAAGGAATTCTGCATGCTCGTACCCCACTGCCAGTGTACGTTTTCTCCTCCTCTTCCCTGGCCCTGTGAGCATGGACAGCTCCCCAGAGCAGAGGTGGATCCCAGGTGAGGGCTGGGACGCTGTGTTCTGCCCACGCCGAGCCGGACGCAGCAAACGCCGAAGGAGCTGAGGTGGGCAGGAGCAGATCCCCCCTCCCAGGGCACAGGAGTTGGGGGGTGTGGCACAGGGGAGGCCAGGAGAAGAGCTGAGGTGTCCTGGGGAGGACACAGATCCCTGCCTGTTCCCCCCAGCCCAGGCTGTGTCGCAGGGCTGTGGTGACCACTCGCTGGGCGGATGGCTCAGAGATTTCCCAGTCCTGGGGAGAAGTGTTGGTTCCTGGCTGTAGCTCATGGCCCAGGATTAAAAATCTCTCCAGCAGCAGAGAGGTGTTAAGAAATGCTGAGTGTAGGACGTTGCACTGGGCCCAGTTCAGTGATGCCCATGCCCTGAGCAGCCTTGGCCATCCCTGGATGTGTGGGTGAGGCTGGGCAGGTGGAGCTGTGTCTGAGCCAGGTGGGGGTTACAGCTTGGCTTCTGTCCTTGTGTGGCTTTTATGTGAGAAATACAGACAAGCTGAATGTGAGAAATGTTCAAGCTCACCCTGAGTTCAAACCCTTTTTTGAGGAGATCCCAGGAGTGGTGAAGGCACATGTCTGTCCTCTGTAGCTGCTGGATCACGTTCAGTTGGGATTGCTGTTGATCCTTAGATGTCTTCTCCACTCTCATGCATAACTTAGAGCTTTGAAACATTTCAAAATACTGTTTAATGTGGTTCTGCAGATTTCCCCAAACTGTGGTTTGGGAAATGTTTTCTCCCCGTGGTTAACACTCCTTAGATGTGTGTTTGTATGTGGCAGGGTAATTTGGAAAAATGCTTTGGAGTTCTAGACCTGTGTTATGCTCAGGATTTGGCAACTGGATCAACTGGAACCAGTCACAGTTCAACTGGAACATCAAGTTCCTCCTTCGATACTCTGCTAGTCAGCACGAGGGTGTTCCAAATTACTGTAAACAGTTTGTAGTGAATTTGGAATATCATGGAACCATGGAATGTTTGGGGTTTGGCAGCACCTCAAAGCTCATCCAGTCCCACCCCTGCCAAGGGCAGGGACACCTCCCACTAGCCCAGGTTGCTCCAAGCCCCGTCCAACCTGGCCTTGGACACTTCCAGGGATCCAGGGGCAGCCACAGATCCTCTGGGAAACCTCCCCACCCTCCCAGGGAGGGCTGGTGGCTGATGTCTCTAACTCTGCTAAAACACACTGCATGCTGGGGGGGATGGCTTTGCTCCTCTAGGAATTGTTTCTGACAGAGCACCCAGATGCTGAAGGGTGGAATAAAAGGCACGTGAGGTGTCTGGGTGCTGCTCTGTTCCTTTAAACAGCTGTGAGTGTGAGCTCAGGGGTCTGTCTCTCACTTTGGATGCAAATAACTGTTCATTCTAAAGAAAAGCTAACCTGGTTTTCATAAGCAGTGCCATCAGAGTGACCTTGCATGCCTTACAGAATAGAAGTTAATTTTTTTTCCCCTTTATTTTTAGTTCACCTTGTTGATATCTGGAATATGATTGAAGCCTTCCGAGATAATGGCCTTAACACTTTGGATCATAACACAGAGATCAACGTGTCCCGGCTAGAAACAATCATTTCATCCATCTACTACCAGCTAAACAAACGCCTTCCTTCTACTCACCAGATCAGTGTAGAGCAATCCATCAGCCTCCTCCTCAACTTCATGGTAGCAGCATATGACAGGCTAGTAACTGCTCCAGCTGTATCCTTGCACTGGTTTGCTCCCCGAGGCCCCGGCAGTCGCGTGGGTGCCACACGCGTGGGTTGGGTGGCACAGCGGTGCCCACGGGCACGGGCAGTGCCACAGCAGCACGGCTGGGCCTCAGACCTTGCCTCCTGGAGTGATTCAGAGCCCCGTGGGACTGGTGGGAGCCGTGGGCTGAGCTGGGTGTGCAGTGACACCGTGCTGGGACCCGGTGGTTTAGCGCTGGCGTGAGGAGTGAATGTGTTCTGTGGAAAATTGCTCCAAAGGACCCTTTCCTGCTGCTGCCTTGTCTGGACAGTCAGTTTGTGTCCCCTTCCAGTGTGCTGGGAGCCCATAAAGGCCACTTCTCATCTCCTGGCCGGAGCAGCTGGGTTTCTTGCTCAGGGTTCTGTCCAGGCCTTTCCTCATGTCCGATCTTACGAGTTCCTTTCACAGCCTGTTCCTGCAGGGTTTGCTCTGCTGATCTGGGGTGGCTGTGCCTCTGTGGGCTCTGCAGGTCCTTCCCTGTGGTTGGCACTTCTTACTTTTGGTCTTCTTGTTTTCAGCATCAGCTGTTACTTCAGCAGGATCTGTCTTCTGCTGTTGCCCCAGTGAGGGGTTTTACCCGAGACAATCCCCAGCAATGAACGTGCCAAATAGTTGTTCTGTTTGTGATGTCCAGGCTTTGATCCTTTCCTCATGTGACAACTTCTTATTGCCACTAAACAGAAGCTGGGCTTGTCCCTCAAAAAGTCCCAGACCTCAGAACAGTCCCTGTCTCACTGAGGGTGGATTAAACCAGCACAGAGCTCAGAGCAGGGACACTGGGACAGCAGAACCAAGAGGGGGGTTTCTGATCTGATTTGGCCTTAGTTGAGAGACAACTTGTGAGGGTTGGCTGAGGCTTTGGTTATTCTCAGATCACACTAGAAAACATAGAATTTAAAACCAGAAATGGTCATGTTCTGGGGAGCTGCCTCAAAAGATCAAGGCTTTAGTTACAGATAGGTTTTGTCCCCCACTTTTCCCCAACCCTGCAGAGTTCTGCCTTTTCTGCAACCCCAGCAGCACTTTTGATCCCAGCATGGTGCAGCAGCTTCCCTTTTCCTTCCTCTGCCTGGCATGTGGGATTGAGGGAGAAGCTGGGATGCTGTGTGGGACAGCCAGGAACAGGAGGAGAGGCAGGGCTGAGGCTCCCTCTCCAGGAGTTCAGCTACGTGGCAGGCAGTTAGTTTTTAAAGATGCACATCTGTGCTGGAGTTGCATCCCTGGGCTGGCTCTGTGCTGGAATTGCATCCCTGGGCTGGCTCTGTGCTGCTGGAATTGCATCCCTGGGCTGGCTCTGTGCTGGAATTGCATCCCTGGGCTGGCTCTGTGCTGGAATTGCATCCCTGGGCTGGCTCTGTGCTGCTGGAAGGCACAGAGTGCTGGAGCTCCTTCCAGCAGTGCTGGTGGGACCATCTCAGAGCCTGTAACTTTCTGCCAGACAGGTACAGTCACAGAGTCATGGAATGGTTTGGGTGGGAAGGGACCTTAAAACTCATCCAGTGGCACCCCCTGCCATGGGCAGGGACACCTCCCACTAGCCCAGGTTGCTCCAACCTGGCCTTGGACACTTTCAGGGATCCAGGGGCAGCCACAGCTTCTCTGGGCAGTGCCAACATTTCAGCAAGCTCTCAGACCTTTCCTGGGAATTCAGCCTGACTGGGTGCCCCATAAGGAGGAATTTGGAGTCTGATTGCTCTGGAGAGGACGTGGTGGGAGGGCTGGCACAGCTGGAATGCTGCAGTGGCTCTCTGGGAGGGACAGGCAAGGAGTGGGAGTTGCCCTGGAGCTCTGCCTGGGGCTGGATGAGGAGCCAGCTGGAGTTTGAGTCAGGAGGAGTGGGCAGATCCACGTGGACACCCTTGCTGGGGGTGTCTGCTGCAGAGCCCTGGGCAGGAGGACCCAGAGGATGAGGAAGGAGCCTCACACACACAGGCCTGCTGTGATTCAAACACCTCTCCAGTTCTGTTTCCAGTCCTGGTTTTTACAAGAGATTCAAAATCATAGGGGAAGTTTTGCCTTTTTTCTTTCTGCTGGGAATTCAGCAGATGGAGTGGCACTGGGGCAAAGATTTGGGCAGATTGCTCAAGAACTGCCCCTCTGTCAGATTGCAGGGCAGGAGTTTGGGGGTTTTCTTGGTGCATAAACAGTGTCAGCAGGAGCCCAGTGTCTGATGGCACTGGGATCTCCTTTGCAAGGACGAGTTTGTGTCCTGGGAGGAGGCACTTTTGGCTTTGGGCACTTGATTTAACTCAAAAATGACTCAAACCCGAACTGTCCTTTGATATAAAGTCAGTGTGTATTAAAAAGTAAAAGGGAGGGGGGCTGAGACTGGAGGGTTGAATTGGCTGCTGAGCTTTGCTCAGACAGAAGTGGAGGTCAAGGCTTGAAGGGGATGAACTTTTTGAACAGCAATTCCAGGCATGTCCTGGGCTGATCCCACAGGGATGGTGGGCAGCAGGGCAGGGGGATCTGCCCCTCTGCCCCCTCAGCTGAGACCCCCCTGCAGAGCTGCCTCCAGCCCTGGGCAACAGCAGCACAAGGACGTGGAGCTGCTGCAGAGAGTCCAGAGGAGGCCCCAAGGTGATCCCAGGGCTGGAGCAGCTCTGCCATGAGGAAAGGCTGGGAGAGCTGGGATTGTCCAGCCTGGAGAAGAGAAGCTTTGGGGTCACCTAACTGTGGCCTTCCAGGACCTGAAGGAGCTTCAGGAAAGATGGAGAGAGACTATTGACAAGGAGCTGGAGTGCCAGGACACAGGGAATGGCTTCCCACTGCCAGAGGGCAGGGAGAGATGGGAGACTGGGAAGGAATCCTTCCCTGGGAGGGTGGGGAGGCCCTGGCCCAGGTTGCCCAGAGAAGCTGTGGCTGCCCCTGGATCCCTGGGAGTGTCCAAGGCCAGGCTGGACAGGGCTTGGATCAACCTGGGCTGGTGGAAGGTGTCCCTGCCCATGGCAGGGGTGGCACTGGGTGAGCTTTAAGATCTCTTCCAACCCAAACCATTCTCAGATTCCCTGTAGTAAAGTCTTACTCTTTTCACCTGCAGAGGGAGTGCCAACTTGTTCCTTTGGGAAAGCTCTTGTAAAAGGAGAAACAAAATAAGACAGTTGAGATCTTTACTTTGTTGTGAACTTTATTCTGTTTGTGTTCCTTGAAGGAAATACAGAAGGTGTTTCATTTTCTCCCTTAGTTTAGTTTTTTCCAGCAGTGGTTAAAGGGTGCTGGGTATCAACAAGTGATGGCCTGGGATCACCATTCCTTTTCCCAGAGCTGTGGCTCCAGGAGATTGTCTCTCTTCTGCAGAGGGAATGTTTCAAAGATACTGAGTCTGTATTAGGGAAACAACCCCTTGTATTTCAGGAACTTCTCAGCCTGAGAGCCTTTCCCTCACCATGGAATGGGAGATTGTTACCAGAGGGTAATATTTCCATACTAACTCTGAGTGTGAAAGGGAAACAAAAGGGATTTGGTTCTTCCTGGTGTCTCCAGTGGTTGCTCATCCGTTGTTGACATCAGACTTTGTCCCTCAATACCATGAGCCAAAATCCACTTCAAATAATCCTGTTCTTAACAGTGTCCAAGGCAGGTGTCAATGCCCATCTCCTTCCCACTGAATCCTGGAACCTTAGGATGGTTTGGGTGGGAAGCCACTTTAACACTCATTTAATTCCACCTCCTGCCATGGGCAGGGACACCTCCCACCAGCCCAGGTTGCTCCAAGCCCTGTCCAACCTGGCCTTGAACACTTCCAGGGATCCAGGGGCAGCCACAGCTTCTCTGGGCAACCCGGGCCAGGGCCTCCTCACCCTCACAGCCAGGAATTCCCTCCCAATCTCCCATCTCTCCCTGCCCTCTGGCAGTGGGATCCATTCCCTGTGTCCTGTCCCTCCATCCCTTTTCCAGAGTCCCTCTCCAGCTCTTTGCAGTCTCCCTTCAGAAGTATTTCTGGTTTCTCTGGATCTCTCCCCACACTCCTCCTGTGTTTCCCCCATCAGTGTGTTTTCCATGCCAGTACAGATTACCTGTCCAGCCCATTTAAAGACAGGCATTTGAATTTATTTGAGTTGGGTTTCTCCTTTTACCTTTGAGTTCCTTGGTGGGGGTCAGTCTGCCCTGCTCTGTCTGTGATCAGGGACAGGGAGCACTTGTGTCTGCCAGTAACTTGCTCAGAATTCCAGCAGCTTTTCCCCACCCTTGCCCAGCTGTGCTGTGCTTTAACCCCCCCCCGCCTCCCCCCGTGTTCCTGGTGCCTTCTCTCCCACAGCACCTCTTCCTCAACTTCCTCCTGGAAGCAGGAATAACCCCCATGTCTGTCCCTACCAGTCCTGCTGTGCTGGATGGCTCCTTCCTGCTTTCCACAGGGCCACATCCCTTCTTGCTGATGCAGAAGGGACTCCCCAGAGGTGCCACTGCTCCCACAGCACAGCAGCTTTAACCACTTCAGTTCCAAATGAACATTGTTCCCAGTGTTCTCTGTTCCATGTGGGGTCTCCAGGATCTCACACAGCCTCTCTGTTACCTGTCAATTCAGGGGCTTGTTTTTAGAATGAGATGTGTGTTTGGACATCAGAGTTTAAACTAAGGAGTAAAAGTTTAAAGAAACTTACAGAGGGCAGCAGAGAGAAAAACGAGGAGTTTCACAGTGAACAAATGGATTTTAATGGAAAAATGAATTAGCACTGTTTTATAGAAGAGTTATGGGATGGGCAACACAAATGTCAGGCTCTCTATCTGGGAATTTTTCATAATTCTGCAAGGAAATTTGATTTATGGATAGACACTTGTTAACTCTTGCAGTGCATTAAAAATGCTGGTGTTATCCCTGTTTGAAAGTTACACTGAATAGCTTTGGCAGTCCTTAGTACTTAATGCAGGTATAGATATAATGGATATATAGAACAGTATAATGATTTACACATTTCCTTCCCAGGCCTTAAGTGCTTTAGTGCTTGCCATTCCCTGCTGGAATTCCTCACCATGTGCTTTTCCCCACAGCGAGGGCCACGGGAAGCTGACGGTGTTCTCAGTGAAAGCCATGCTGGCCACCATGTGTGGTGGGAAAATCCTGGACAAACTCAGATGTGAGTATCCTCCATGAATCCAGCCATTTCAGGAAATGACTGCATTTCCACACGTGTTTGTGGTGTTAAGTTCTGGGAGCTGATTCTTTGCCGAGTCGGCGATCCTGACGCTGACCCTGAGGTTGGAAAAGAGCTCCCAGGCCACGGAGTCCAGCCTGTGACTGATCCCACCTTGTGCCCCAGCCCAGAGCACTGAGTGCCACGTCCAGCATTCCCTCTCTGAGCCAGAGATTGTTCCCCAGCTGTCCCCACAGGTCTGGTGTGGGGCAGAGCAGCCCACGATCCAAACCCCTCAGTCCTGCTGGACAAGGACATGGAGCAGATTCCTCAAGCTGCAGAGAAAATTGGTGTGATAGAGTGTTCTGTGAAAGCATGGAGAGCAACCTGGTGGTGAATAGGAAACAGCTGTTCCCTCCCCCTTCCAGCTGTTCCCTTCCAGGGCAGGAACCAAAGGGCAGCGACTGGAATGGGCAGGGGCAGATGGAAGCAGCAGAGACCAATTCTGCTTTAACTTTCCCCGAGGATGTGGTGGGTACCAAACATCCACACCCCTCCATTGCTCCTTGAACCAGTTCTGCTGAAGGAAATACATTCATCAAAGGCTGCTGAGAGCAAAGGGGCTCTCAGGGAGGGGAGGAACGTGCCGGGAATGTGCTGGCCCGACCATCTGCTCTGGGGATGAACAGGCTTCTGATCTCTCTGCCTCAGCTGTTCTCTTGTTCCTTATTCCTTCTTCTGATCATTATGAACATGCTGACTTGGTTTTTCCCCTTTTCTTTCCCACCTGGCTCACTCCATCACCAAACAGCTCCTGTTTCCAGGTTCCTTGTCCCCCTGATTCCAGCCCTTTCCTGAGCAGGTTGGCAGCTCTGGCTCGGCTGGAACATGAGGCTCTCTGGAAATCCTGGGAGTTGTATCTTTAATGTTCTCTCATCTCATAAATGGTTGGAAGCTGGTCTCTCTGCTTGCACGTGCACAGGCCTGTTTCCCTGCCTGCTGAGGACATGAGCAGACAGAGCATTCCCAGCTCCTGCTGTGTCTGAGGGCACAGAGGGACTGGGAGAGGGACACAGAGGCCACTCCACTGGTCTGGAACAGATGAGTTCCTGTGAAGGCAGGGACACCTCCCACTAGCCCAGGTTGCTCCAAGCCCTGTCCAACCTGGCCTTGGACACTTCCAGGGATCCAGGGGCAGCCACAGCTTCTCTGGGCAAACTGGGCCAGGGCCTGCCCACCCTCCCAGGGAAGGATTTCTTCCAAACATTTCAGATCTAACATGGAATCTGATTCCCCTTCCCACCTGCTGCCCTGCACAGCTCCTGTGCTGTCCCTTGGGGATGGGGTCAGTGCACCCCAGCTCCTGATGGCTCCTGGTGAAGCTGGGGAAGGGAGGGAGCTGGGGGGGCTCAGCCTGGAGCAAAGGAGGCTCAGGGGGGACCTTCTGGCTCTGCAACCCCCTGACAGG